TTTAAAATTCAAATTGGTTTATTTGTACGACTCTAAAGAAAAAAATTCGTACATATTATACTGATATTATTTTCGATTTAAAAATAAATGTTTAGTTGTCAATTTAAAATTAATTATTGTCAAACTGAAAAAAAACCATTTCATAACTTGGCGCGATGACGGCGAATTAAGCATTATATGTTTATGAAATTAAGTATATTATACTATTATAAAGCAGTGGTTGTCGAACTTTTTTTGTTCATGGCACACTTGCGTGTATTATAAAAATCTCAGGGCCCCCACACACTATATAATATATATATATATAGAAAATAGATGCTTTATATTTTCAATAATTTTGCTGCACATCTCTAAGCCCAGTTCACTGCCACTGGTTGAGATTTTGAGAACCACTGTTATAGTGTGTTGTAGCCCATAACTGCAGACATTACCTCTAGATGCATTTTGAAGAGGCTGATCAATGAACCGTCCTCGACGGTAACGTTCAAACTGTTTGCGAATTCGGTCAGATCTATCGGTTGAGGCTCTCGATTCTGAAACGACAGCATGTTCTTGACCAGAGCCGAGTCCTCGATCTTAATTCGCGTCAATCTGTTAACGGTAGAAATACAACTTATAAGACAAATAATATGTACATTACCGATTAGTGACATTATAAGAAATATTGCAAAACTGTGACGATGACGTGAAGAGATTTTTTATTATTAGTGCGATGACAGCACCCGTCGCTGTGCAATGTGCCAGATCACGTTAATGTTTTTATTTATTATTACTACTACGCAAACTAAAACAAAACTTTTCAATATGACTAATAATATTATTATACATAGTTTTACGCCACGACAAAAATGTATCACCGTGTGATGATGATGTGCGTGTCATAAGACCGACGCGTAACACTTGTATTAAAATTAAAATTATATTTTATATTTTATAAAACTGTAATATTATTTGCAATATGCAATGATGTTGTATTATGACTACCGTCTATCTCCACTCATATAATATTCTCTCACCCTAGCCGACTTCTAAGTCTTTCGACGGTGATCAGATTCGAGGTCATCGGTAGACCCAGTTGACCAGCTTTTACAGCCACTCGACAGTCGTCGTAAGTGTAGTCTGCCGTTGGAACAGCCAATGCCCTGAAACAATATAAACAAAAAAATCGGTGAAGACGACTCTAGAAAAAAATTCGTATAGAAATTCTTAAAATACATAACATCATAATAATATAATATATTGGTCGGTAATTTAAAACAATCATAACGTGTAACGAACGACTAGCAAAACAATATCCGCGCGTAGTCGCAGATGACGTTTCAATTTTTGAGAGCAAGGCTTGAATTAAGTTTTATTTATAATTACTAAAGAATTAAAAAGGTCTTATGAAAAAAATATCCTCACTCTACTCAGTTTAAGATCACTATTCACTAAATTTTTAGTACAAGTTTTTTYGAAAAAATGAAAGAAGATCCTTACTCTATATTATTTAATATTTTGTACAAATATATATTAGGTACGTATTTATAACAAAATAAAACAGTCGACCGACATTATCAGCAGTGGCGTAACTAAGAGGGATCAGAGGGTGCGGTCGCACCCGGGCCCGTTCGTATAGGGGCCCAAAGAATTGTTTTCTTTTTTTGACAATRMCRGTKACRGTGGCCACCGCAGAAAGAAGTTTTTCTAAACTCAAAATAATTAAAAACTATCTTCGAAGTACGATGTCTCAAATTCGTCTGTCAAGTTTGGCAATAATATCAATAGAAAAGAAATTAATACATCAGATATTAT